ACTTTGACCCACACTCCGGAACAGTAGGTGGCGGTAATGCTCCTTTAAGTTGGTTGAACCACGCTCCATACCAGTTGGTGGCGGTAATGCACACCAAACGGGTTTTAGCAAACCGCCAAAAGAAATCGAGAAGAAGAAGACATTTGAAAATGTTGACGGGAAAACTCTCAGGTGTTGCTCGCTGAGTATTAAGGAGGTTTTTGTTTGTTTTTGAGCGGTTTGTCGTTGCTGGGGACATGCTAAAGCGCTACGTGAAGCGCGCAAAGTCAGGTAAGATGGGCTAAAATTCAGTTAACGTTTCAGTTATTTATTGGATTTTGACGCAGCAGGAGGGGTTCACCGGTATGGGTCAAGGTATTGTTTTAAATGTTTGTCTTTGTTTTTTGGCAGCAGTGTTTTGTTTTTATTTTTTACACAGCCTGCAYAGATTGCTGGTTCCATTTATAAATTCAAACAAATCTCATGTATCAAGAGTTTTTAATATGAACATGGTAGGAACAAAACAATAACTGACAAAACAATACCTAAAACAATATAATTTACAGAACTGACAACAGAACAAAATGTTCTTGTAGCAACACTTGTCCTTGTTTCATCATGTTTAGGTGTATCCACGAGTAATTTTAATGGTTTATAATCATTTACCAATAAAGGTTTCTTTTATCTATGTTAGCTCAACGTGAAATACCAACCAGAACAACTGTACTCTTGCCTGTACATTCACACATATAAACATTTAACTTTGCACAAAAAATAAGGAAATTGCGTTTGAGAGGTTATTTCTTTGTTGTAAAATGTTTCTTGGCGATAAGTCACAATGTTGGAAAGCCTGTTAACCTTTCAGTAAAATAATGTCACATTTGCAAGGAACATGCGTTTGTGGGATGAGCAGTAGAGTTGAAGTATGTGAGTTGTACACATGAAAAAAATTGCCATATCTTACAGCTTGTGTTGCTGTTGACACATTGCCATGAAGAAGAGAACAGCAGAGAGATGATCTACCAAACACACATTTCTTACATGTGCACATGTATATTTGTACAAACAGGTACATTTCTTATATGTGCACATGTGTATTTGTACAAACAGGTACATTTCTTATATGTGCACATGTATATTTGTACAAACAGGTAAATTTCTTATATGTGCACATGTATATTTGTACAAACAGGTACATGTGATCCATAATTTAACCAGTTCCTTCTCAGCTGAATGGTGTTTGAATGGAATGTTTTTAAATCCTTTTTAATTCAATGTATCGTTCTAAGGTTTTGATTAATTTGTACTTCATTGTTTTTGTTTACATATTTGAAAACTGAAAAATGAATTGAAGGATGTGCAGGAATACTTATACAACTCTCTGCCAGCTTACTGTGATGCTTTGTTGAATTTTGGACCACTTAAGTTCTTTAAATTTTGTCATGTCTTTTATTGATTATTGATTATTACGAGTTGTTTCATTTATCTTTTATGACTTGATTCTAGGGTTGGGCAATATTGGCAAAAAAATTAATCACAATTAATTGTGGTATTTAGCCAATAACGATTAATTTGACGATTAACCCCCTGGAGTCCCTGCACACCTTTATGTCCTAGTCACACGACCAGTTTAGTGGGAAAGATTTTCTTTTCATAAAATCTGTTCCAAATTGTGTCAAAATCACAGACTTCAGCTAAACATCAAGTTTTAAATTGGGTTGATAGATAATTAAATTACAGAACCTTTTTTAATGTTTGTCATATTTGAAGCAGGGWGGAGCACAGAGCGGACTCTGCCTGGTGGCATTAATCGTATTAATCGTCAAATGCCAAAAAATAATCGATTAATGTTTTTCCGACGATTAATTGCACACGATACGATTATGCCCAACCCTACTTGATTCTGTTGTATTTTACATTTTTGATATCATTTTGGTCGTCATATAAATTGCACTATTTCCTTATTTTACATTGCACTTGTTGTTTATTTTACATTTATGTTAAGGCAGTTAATAATTATTCCTTTTAATTTGGATTGATTAATGACTAATCAAGAGGAGGGGAATGTGCTGGGATACTTATATAACTCTCTGCCTGTACAAGTTCATACTGTCTTGACAGTATTATTGTATATCTTTTGATAACTGCCACGYCTTGTGTAATCTGTTTCACATGATTTCTGAGATGCCATTTCATGTATGGGACCTCGCTCTTATTTTGATATCTCTGTACCAGCTGTTGCTCTGTCATTGGACCCCGTTGTATTATTTGTCGTCCTGTTATTGGCTGATCACGCACTTCGACCGGATGTTAAAACTGTTTCTTCTTTGACGGACCCTCTGATCGGGCCTGCTTGAGTTGCTGCTCACCTTTTGCTTATGCGAACCTTATTAAAACATCTGATGACCGAACCGCGCAGCGCACCTTCTTTTATTCACGTATTTCCGCCTTAGTGGATATTTCCACGACAAAGGACGTGTGTAGTTTTTTTCCTGTCTGACCACAAATGTTTGTGTTTTTCCAGCACTGAAGCGGTCATTTGAGGTGGAGGACACAGATGCGTCCACAAACCCATCTCCTGTGTCTCGCCGTACCACCAACCCTCTCCGCTCTTCCGCATCCTCCTCCACGTCCAGCCAGCGGAGCTACGACCTGAGCTCCCGCAACTCGGACTACTCCTCCGCCAGATCCACCATCTCCGAGTCTTCCAGTCTACGTTCCCCAAAGACCGGCATGAGGCGCATGGAGTTATCAGGAGGTCGCAACCCTGACGCAGCTTCATCCCGCCGCACAGAAATGTCCATCGAGGTCTCGTCCAAACAGATTGACAACTCCCCGAGCGCTGGCATCGCCCGCTTCGGGCTCAAACGACCAGAGGTGAGCCTGAGCAGTCGGAGTAATGCTCTGGACAGCTCTTCCAACTCTGTGAACAGGCGGGCGGAGTTCAGCATGACAAGACCCCATGATCCCCCCGCCCCTCCTAGGAGGGTGGACGCCCAGCTGTCCTCCACTCCCCCCGTCTCCAGGATCCCAGAGCCCCCTCAGAGAAGAGCAGAGCCCCCTTCTCCTCACCTCAGCCCGACTGACGGGTTGTCCAGGAGACCAGAGATGCCCATCTTCAGACAGCCAGACAGCTTGGCGTCAGGCAACGCAGTAGAGAACAACCACACACCACCTGCACCTGCCGCCCCTCTGCCGTCCCTGACAGAGCCACAGGTGGAGAAGGTGGTGTCACCTGCCACAGAGGTGCCCACAACTCGACCGACAGAAAGTGAGTACCTGCTCAGTTCACTTTTCTTTTATTCAAATATTTCAGTTTTAATAGCTGACTTTAAAAAACACCGGCAAGATTAACTACTCACTGTGAGGTTCACACAACTAATCCCAATTCAACTTCCTTTATTTTCTTAAACATGGTGGGGTTTTCTCAATCCAAGAAGTTGCAAAATTTAGGTGGGGACGACTATGTTATGATGAAGTAATTCAATGAATTTTCCTTTATTTTTTGACTCMGTTTCCTTTTCTGTTTATCACAGAATGAAGTTAATGTTGAAACACAAAAAAGGCTAAAATAAAGTGAAACGCCTAATTTTAAAACAATATACTTACTCGTTAGATACTTATCTATTCAGACTTGATTGACCTAGTCGTTAATGTAAAATAATAAATTAATATTACACAGTCAGAAGATTACAACCCTGAGTTCTTGAGCTTATTTAGAGAGACTATCTGTGAAAGTAGGTCAGTGAGACTAACGAGAAACTCTTTCTAGGACAGCACCTACCCAAACAAAACCCAATCTTCAACTTGCATTTGAGCACAAGTTGAGTAAATTCAGACTTCTCATTTTCAGTTTGTGCAAGTTGCTTTTTATTAGTGTGTTTACTCCTCATGTCTGCAACTTTAACATTTTCCCGTATTCACTAGTCCCCTTTTGTCACATGTAAAGTTTTAATTGAACTCTAAAACAGACGTAAATTAATCCGTCAGAAGTTTTTATTTTATTGCCACAGCTGATTAATCTCCCTGCCATGTGGCTCCGAGGCGATGCCAAAATCAAACGGAGCATTTCATGAGTTGTAGTAACTTGAAGAAATAATCACTCAAGCTGATTTGGTCAGGAGTGTAAGAATCTTAACTTTGTTAAAAAATAATAATTCTAGAGTACAGCCTCATGTGTTTTAAAAGACAAAAAAAGAATTGTCATTTATAGTCAAAGACATGACAAGAATACCACTGAGCTAGTTGTATATAGTCCAAAAGGACGATGATGATAATTAATGATAAAAAGGCATGCTACAATATAAAGTTCACTTTTTTCCCCTCATCAATAATTAGACCTAACTCTTTGTTTCATGTAGTTTTAGCCTTATTAGGAGTCATTGTGTGGTATTAAAGAAAATTCAGTTCCTTCAGTATTTTTTCATTGAGACAGCAGAAGCTCATTGTTTTACAGTCTTGGTTTTAGCTGTACATTTGGAGAACCTGTTTAAGTTAAATAAATGTGAACGTGATTTCAGTTTGCAGATGAAAAGTCTTTACTCGTTGAGGWGTTTTAAAAGCTTGTTTTGAATAGCTTGGCTTTCTGTTTATTTTTGTTTAAAAAAAAACTTGAATTCTTCTGCTGTGCATCTGTTTGTGCCTCTGCTTATCATGACACAGCTGTGCTGTTGTTTTTTTGGTGAAGTAGTATCCAAGCGTAGGCGGCAGGGAGCTGATGCATTCCAAATCTGGAGGTCGTAAAACCTTTTACATAAAAATAGACCCAAACGTCCACTTCTTGAAGTTCTGTGTAATCTGATTTTTATTTTTATTTCTCACTCTCTCTCTCTCTCTCTTCACTAAACCTACAAAGAAAAAACTAATTTTATTTCTACTTCGTGCAAAATAGATGTTATTCTTAAGCTTTCTGTGGCTGCTGCAGGGGCGAGTCAGTTATCTGAAGTGTGACCTTGTGTAAGGAGATAGGAAGTGAACAATAAAAAGGGGATGGATTAGGACTGAAGTTGTGCCACATTTGGCTCAGCTTACACCTTCCTGCTCAGCTGAGCACATGGAGGGAGGCCCTGCAAAAAGGAAACCTGAAAAGAAGAGCGGAGCAGACAGGAGCGGGAAAGAGGCGGACAAAATAGGAGGGTTTCTGTGGAGAAGGGCAGAGAAAAGAAATATTCAGAGAGTCATAAACTGCAAGAAAGAGAGTACGTTAAATAGTTTATTTGCAGTGAGAAAACTAATGAGAACACAAAACTTTGAACTCCAGACACTTCACACTTGGGCAAGTTTGTTTGTTATTTTGATGTTAGTTAGATTTTCAAAACATGAATCTGTTTTATTTCTTTTTGTTGACTTTGTGTAGCTGCTTGTCTCACCACTGCATTTGATTCTAAACCAGCCGGATGTCGATGTGTGGCCAGTTTGGCCATTAAATTTTTTGCCAAAGGGTTTTTGTGATCTATAAGTGAGATCTGGTTGCCTTTAATGGTTTTGTGCGTGTTCACTCATGTGGATATGTGTACACCCTGAGTGTAGGTTTAAGAATGTCTTGCCCAGGGGAGAGTGACTGATGAACAGGCTGATAAGTGATGTGCCGTGTCTGTGGAGGAAGCGGAACAGCACAAGGTGCTGTAAAGACATGCTTTATTTCGGCTGATTTGTCGACTGTAACCACGAGCAGCTGTGTTCAGCCTCAGCAGGAAGTGATCTCACATTGTTGTGCAGAAAAACACACATTCATTCAATGTGAAGGCAACTGATTTTAATCACCTGCACTTTTTGTTTGTTTTGTTTTTTGATTTTGAAATTCAAATCTGGACATTTGACACGTTAGTGTGCTTTGCAACATCTCTATAGATGCACCTTTTACATTTTCTATCTTTTTCAAGACAAAACAACAATCAATGTGTTGTTATCAAAGCACAAAGAAGAATTTCATCCTCCGTGTTTATTTGTGCACCTCAGGTTGGAAGGCAGTGCATGCAGAAAAATCTGCTTCAGATAAGAAATCCTGTCGAACAAGACTGTTTATCTCAGTTTTACACCATTTTCTTTACAATTAGAATTTTTGGTTTGTATGAACAAGTTAATGCAGAAAACCTATTGTTAAATGCATAAAACAGTTTGTTTAAATCTAAATGTGCAGCTGGGAGACTGTGATGAAGTGATTCAACACAATCTACTGGCTTCTTTAGATTTTTTTTTCATGTACAATGCATGTTGTGACTTCACTTTAAATAAACTGAATTGAATTGAATTGAATTGCTATAAAACTAAACTAAGAACGATCCTCATGGCATCATTAATTCAGTCTGACTTTAGAAGTCCTGTGTGTGATTTTGAGTTTGAGTTTGATTATACTGTAATGTCAGGGTGCCTATTCTACAGGGTGAGCAAAAGTACACTGCTCAAAAAAAAAATAAAGGGAACACTTAAACAACGCACACTAAGTCCAAGTAAATCAAACCTTTGTGAAGCACATTCAACTCTGTACAGAACAAAGTACTCAATGCGAATATTTCATTGATTAAGATCGGGAGTTAGCGTGCGTTGTTTAAGTGTTCCTTTTATTTTTTTTGAGCAGTGTAGTTAAAATTACAGTTAAATACACTAACCCTAAACCCAAATGCAAAATAATATAAACAACATAAAGTACTTTTTTTTTAAAAGCAAAATAATTTCCAGCTCTTTTTCATTGTTTTTTAGTTGATCTGATTAATTTTTGCACCAAATATTTGACAAATTTATGACTATATTTTAGCAGTTGAATGTGTCCAGGTTTGTTTTTGTGTGTAAACTTTCCCAAATGAGGTGTGCATGCACGCATTTCTTGTTGAAACCAAACTATTTTGAAAACTTCTTTGAAAATAAGTTTATTAATCACCAATAAATTGCTTAAAATCTTTTTTTTTTACATTTTCTTTAACAAACTCGATACATTTTTGTTGATTTCAAGTCCAGTGTAAAAAAAACAACAAATTAATAAGTAATAGGTCCCAAAATACAACATATAAGAACTTGAGCATTTTAAGTATTGAAACACAAATTTTATCTGTATTTTCTCCACAGCAGTAAAAACATTTCTTCACATGGGCTGATTAGCTCACTAAAGAAAATGGAGCAAAAAGTCTTTCTGAATGTGTCAAAAGTTTTTCTTTGGAGACATTTTATCTTTTTGATTTCAAGTTTCCAGACCAAACCAGCAGCTGTATTTATCAGAGTTTTGATCAGAACTCCTCACTAATAAAAACACAAGTTATCATTGTTCTCCCAGCTGAGTTTACAACAATTTATGTCTCATTATCTTATGATCTATCTTGTGCTGGTCTGATAAGTGGTAACACTTCTTTTTGTGTTTAAGAAAATGATACCGATCTTGTTGAGACAAACATAAAGACCTTTTCATAAGCTCGTTATAAACGAAGTCTTGTGTATGTCAGGGGGTGTTTTTCTGCTACTAATCAGTAAAAAGATAAATCATACAAAAAAAGCGCACTTGAAAACAAATCTAAATATTCCTTTGTTGGAAAGCTTTGGCTTATATGATTACAACTTGTTTCATTTAACCTAAAGTAAAAATAAAAGCGATGAGTAAATAAACACAATTTAACACAATATTTACCACTCTCAGTAAATCAAACTATAGAAGTTTTTTAATGTGCAGTATCAATCTTGATTATTTTCTTAACTGCTGTCACATCATGACTCAGCACTGAGTCGCTAATATCAGATTACAAATGGTTATATCTGATGAATAACAGGAGTGTCTTTGTGTGTGAAAACAAATAATCAAAGCAATATTTTTTGTATAATCCCAAATAGTTATGTAATTAAATATATAAAGGAAAATGCTTAATGTCAAGTTTTGCTGGCTTAATTTTGGGGTTTTGTAATAAAGCACTGCATTTACTGTTGGTTTTAGATGGTGTCTGAAAAAAAATTGATCCCTTTTTATTTTGCATTTTCAGGTTTTTCGAATGTTGTCTGAGGAAATTATGATTAGAGCTAAAATAATCAAAAGAACCAATAAAAAAAATTTGCACAGAAAGTCCATTACATTGTTTCCTGTGTGAGGTTGAGGTGTATAACGGTGTTGGTTATAGTAGACCGATCCCTGTAAACGGGATGTGTTTCCATAGCTGCCGCTCCGGTGACCATCAGTATAATGTTGTCTCCTGAATTCTTGTAAAAGGTTGACCGTGACCTCAAACGTGTAGTCAAGATGGTAATCTGGGCCATCATGCTGAGTGATGAAGACTCGATTTATCTGTTGGTTTCTGTTGGCACTAAATATAATCCGAGCTCTGTTCCATCCATTGGTCCGTCTCTGGGAGTTGCGTACGCTTGATGGAAGTGATTCTGATGTGTCTCGATGAATATTACCCACTGTGTAGTATTTGAACCCCCAAGGCTGTGGGTCCAACACTTCTTCATAGTTTCCATAATGATGTGAGCCATACCCACTGTCGGGGTCAAAGGTCAGCCAGATAACGTTATTGCGAATGTCAACTGTGTTGGCAAACCACCGAAGCAGCTCTAAAACGTTTGTGCGCTCATTCCAGTAAGCGTCTTCCAGCTCGCTGATGGAGTTCAGACATCTCCGAGTAGCGGACACTGAGGTCAGGCCGAGGAGCAGAACCACACAGAACCTTGTGATCGTTGACATCGTTGTACCCTGGGGAGACATTTTAGATGTTGCACATCATCTGTTTGTACATTAAACATCTGTTCATATTCTTGTAGTGAACTCAAACTAGTATAAAATCTGTAGGCATGTGACTTAAACATAGAGAACATATTTCCTTTTTTTTTCTCCAACATCCAAATTTAAATCCAAATTGAAATATTCCTCCATCCTGCACATGGCTGCATTTGATTATTTTTGGATAAAATGTTTACGTAGAAAAACTTAAATTCAGAATGGAAGTAAAGCTGTTTTGATTTTACAACTTTTTTCTTTTTTTAGTGTTTTTGTGTTATTTTCTGTGATTTAATATTTGTATTTGTTTCCTCGGTGTCTTTTACTTAGATCTGTAAATCTGCTCTTGCCCCACCCATATCTACGTGAACCATGTTGTCTCTCCCCAGGTGTTTATCATGCTCAATAATTAGTCCTTTTATATTCATAGTGTTGTGTTCACCCCCAGTGGTGATTTTTGTCTCCCTTGTGCTCAATCCTATTATTTTTCTATGCTTTGAAAGGACTCCGCTGCCTCGTTAGCTTTTGTTAAATAAATCCATTTAAAGTTACTCCTTAGTTCTCACAGTTTACTGTCTGTGATGTTAGCTTGGTATTTTTAGTGTCAAATATGTTACAAATCCATTTCTTACTTTCTACAGGAAGTGACTTTAACTACTGACATTCTAAGACGTCTTTAAAGTGCTTTAAATGCTAAAATGCTTCTTTTAGGGGACCTGTTGATATTTTGTGTTTTATACTTATTAGATATTACACTTAAAGATAAAAAAATAAGACAAATTTGTTCTTAACACAAATGGCAATTACCAATTAATGAAAAACGTTTGAAGTACACCACAATATTGCTAAACCTTCTTTTTTTGCTAATTTTATAAACCATTACTGCAAGTCATCATTTTTCATTTAATTTATTAAGCATTCTTGCATGTTGTCACTTTTTTATAACAGCTGCTTTAGAGAAGAAAAATCGTGTGTTCTGTAGGAAATAAGTGCATTGTGTTTGTGTTTCCATCTTTAGAATATTGTGTTTATAGATTTTAAAGGCAGATGAGAGTAAATGAAAATCTTTAGATCATAAATTTAGGGAGCTTACCTGGTTTAGTTGGATCCTGTCAGGTCTCTGTTCTCTGTCTGTCTGTGAGAGCAGCTCTTTATTTACTTTTAGGTTTCTGCTTCACAGAAAATGAAACTGGAACAACAAACCAACTGACTTGCAGAACAGCAAATGGGTATTGCAGTTTTTATTCTTATTATCAGGAAGTCCTTATGCTCTCCAAGCTGCACCCTTCCTCCCCTACAGAAGCACACTTGCCAGTCACAACACAAACCTCAACCCCCTCCACTGGGGGGGAAAAAGTGCACATTTTTGATCAAAATAAAACATCAGTACAACATGATGGTAATTTCCCCTTTGTCAGCTCTGCGGGTTTTTTTTTTTTAATTTTTATTTGAGTGACTTTTAAAAGTGTCTCACTGTTTTTAGATAACTTGGTACAACACTAAATATGTCTACGCTAAAGAGAGAATAAATCTACCAAAAAGTTGAACAAATGTAAAATCTAAATCAGTATTTTTTTGTAACAGAAATTTAGGTTTCTCAGCTTTTTAGCTCATTATTTGTATGAACACAATCTTTGTTGAAAATGATTTTTTTCTGCAAAAAGCCAAAGTTGGTCTCTGCAGATCCAATGACCATTAAGGCCCTGTCACGTTTTAGACAACTTATGCCAACTTGGGAAATTTTTKTCCAACACTAAAAATGTCTATGTTGAAGATGGAATATATTAAAAAAATCTACTGGGAGCCTAGTTCACATGATCAAAAAAAAAGATCACAAATACAGAATTGATTCAGTCGTTTTTATTCTTTATCGTCATCCTTTCACAAAGAATTCTCATTAAAAAAAGTCAGTGATTCAAATGTTTTAATAGTTTTACTCTTTTAATAAGCTTGAGCTTCAGAAAAAACATGATTTTAAATTAACAGAATTCATTGCTTTCCATATTGGTTTAAAAATAATTGTCCTCCATTCATCTCTTTCAGTCTTTATTCCCCCCAGCATGGGGTGCAGGCTTGCTCCACCTCATCGTGCAGTATGAATCTTGCTTGTACTCCTGGAGCAATTGTCATTCCTGAGTGGTACTCATACACAGCACAGTTTGAAAAGTTCTCAATCTCATTGTTGGGTTTGAATCTTGTTGCCCACTGCCATTGCCACCATTCATAATTGCCTGTGGCTTTTTCTGCAGAACTATAAAGTCCAATCCATGAATTATTGAATGTGGACCTCCAGTCTCTGAAAGAGTTTTTCACATACAGACGAGCACAGGCTTTACCGTTCTTTGCACAAATCTGTAGGCTTGCATTGTAGCCTTCAATGCCGACTGCTGGGGGATTCTCATACTCGGCGCCTCTGTTGAGCTCCTCTCCAACAGATGTCCAGAAGCAACATCTTCTCCTTACTTTATGCAGCCGAGCTTGAAGGCCTTCATTCAGTGGTACTGATGTGTCATAACTGCCTGATTCTTTGTTTCCAATAGACTTATAAGTCAGTTCTTCCTGGTCTAAACCACTCCTAAAAAGCACAACCATCACACCTTCTTTGATAAGCTCTGCGGGAACTTTGCTCCAAAGAATTCTTGCTTTTCCACCTGGACCTGTTGTCACCTTAAGTTTCATTTCATAACTGTGATCCTGTAGGAGCCCTGCAGAAATCCCAGGATAAGTATTTTGCCTGTTTTCTGGAATATTGACAACAAAATCAGAGTGTGTGCTCCTTCTGGTTGAAGACTGTCTCCTGTTGTGTTGGTTGGATGACTCCCTTTCCTGGATCACAATAAATAAGAATAGCCCAAGACAAGCGAGCTCTCCCCACGAGTTTCTAATGTACCTTAGCTGGGCGTCATCTGCGTTGCTCCCAAAGCGATCTCTGAGATCCATCAGAGAGTCCTCGTCTTCCTCAGAGAATTCTCTGATTTGCCTCAGAAGGTTGTTGCTGACTTGGTACGTATGTTCTGGATCGTACCTCGTCCCCTGATATTCAGAGGTTTCAAAATGCTGTGTGATGTAGACCCTGTCTATCTGTCCAGCTTGCCAGCCCACATTCTGCTCTCTCACTCTGAAGATGATCCGGTCCCGGTTTCTTCCCTCGTATCCGTATCGTGGATGGACGACATAAGATGGAAGCTCAGACGACCTTTGTTCATGGAGATTACCAACAGTGTAGTATCTGTATCGTATGTTTCCCTGAGGAAGTTGGTCCAGCATCCTTTCGTAGTTTCCATAGTGGTGTGAGCCATATTCTTCACTGTTGGGGTCAAAGGTTAGCCTTATGACATTGTTATTGTCTATGTCGACCGTGTCAGCGAACCAGTAAAGCAGCAACAGGCTGTGTGAGGGGACAGACTGTCCAAATTTGAGTCTTTTTAGATCATTTATGTTCTTGAGTTTTTGTACAGCTGCTGCAGAGGTGAAGATAAGTAGCAACATCACAAAACTCGCTGCAGCTCCTGACAGCTTCATCATCCTGTAAAATAAATGAATTATTATTATTGTTGTTGTTGTTGCTGCAGCACAATGAAGATGGCTCTCTCAGTGCAAAGAAGTTGTAAAGAATTGTTTTATTGTTCTGAGAAGATATAGAAACTGCATGATCAGCACATGATGATGATGATAATAAAAATCTTTAAAGAAGGAATTCAAGATGATGTGCTTACAGCAGAGCTATTCAACTGGTGGCCTGTGGGCCACATCCGGCCCACAAGTGACTTTCATCCATCCCACCAATGATAATTTCTGTTTTTACTTCATTTAATATAGATTTTCAAACAATTGTAATTTTTTAATTTATGATGCAAGGCAACAAAATAAACACATTTAAAATGTAAGCAATACTTTTATTTAAATGTTTTTTAACATAATGCAATATTTCCCCTACCATATTTGGGCAGTACGACCCCTCTCTGTGAACTTGTGAGCAAATTAGTTTACTTACAGGCTAATAAGTGATGCTTACAGGTGATACAGTATAAGATGTTTTTGTTCAGATGTTTTTTCTCTTTGTAAATTGTCAGAGTGCCACTTAGTACTCATTGGACACTGAAAATTAAAGCTTTTAACAACATTAACGACAAGCAAAACCTCTTTCCTCACGTTTACTAGACTAGTGTTTCCCAAAGTTGGGGTCGGGACCCAAAGTGGGGTCTCGAAACATCAAGGTGGGATCCTGAAAAGATTTTTGGAATTAATTACATTTTTGCCAAAGTTGTTACAAAGGAGTGAGGTTAGTATAATTAAAATGGATAAATGTAGTATAAAAAATATTGTTACTATGCCCATGTTTAGTTGACCTGATACAAATGTTTATCATCCAAAAATAGCTGGGGGCACAGGTCTCTGCTACTGTTATTTTGTGGGTCAAAAGCTGAAAAGTTTGGGAACCACTGCACTTTGGTTCCCAAAGTTGGGCTTGGGACCCAATAATGGGTCATGAAGCACCTTGGATAATCTCCAAAAATCAATTTAAAGGGTAATAAAATAATTGCTGATGTAATATTTTCCCTATAATTATTACAAAAACACAAAATAAGGATAAAGAAGAATTTATATTTGTGTACAAGCTGTTTAGATTGTCAAAAAAGTCTGTGTTTTTAGGGTTGTTAACAAAGTTCATGTACTCAGACCAGTAATATTTGGGGTCACAAGTTTTTGCCATGAATATTTTGTGGGTCAGAAGATAAAAAGTTTGGGAACCACTGTTCTAGACAAGTCTTTTAAAACGCCCTACACACACAAAAATTCTAACATCCTTTTTAAATGAAAGGTTAACATGTCAACTGTAAAAACACGTCTTTCACTTTTTTTGTCAGATAAGACGTACCAACTACATTGTTATTAAAGATTTTGTCAAGACTAATTTCAGATAATTCCTGCAACTTATTAATACTACTCCAACATTTTCTTTTTATTTTCAACATAAAATAAGAGAGCTTACCTGTTTTACTCTGCAGCTGACGACGTCTGTGATTTGTTTGTGTTGGATCAGCAGAGCTTCCTCTTTGTTTCAGTTTCCTGAGCAATGAAACCAGAACCTAGTCTTTCATGGAAATTATCAGGGAGTTTTTTATTGCAGCTGTTTTATTGGTAAGAGTTGTCGGAGCCACACCTACTGATTTCAAGGTCTCATCAGGTCTCTTTAAATTTTGAGCTCAGCATCGGTCATTTGTCTTGATCACTAATGCAAAAAATTGTTTTATCTATAGCTTTGATGTGACTGGGTTTAAAGTGCAAAATGGCTTAAAAATTGTGATTCTTTACAGCATTTTGTCCAAACAACCGCCTGCTCTGCTGCAACCCCACCAGCAACCAGCAGGAGATGCTGTCACACAAGCTGTTGGCCTCATACCTGCAGGGCGTGAAGCTTTTAAATGCTTTGTTGCATTTATAGTTTAAAACAGAAACAGCTCTGTGGCACTTGAAACATGCACGTAACATTGCTTGGTTGTGAAGCTGCAGAGCCTGTTTACAAAGCGTCGACTGAGTCTCGTGTGTTCCGTAAGTCGGAAGGACTTCCGCTATTCGCAGAGCGTTAGACCCAAGTGACACCTTCCAACACAGACCCACAATGTTTCCATTACTTCAGAGTCTGTTTTGACTTGAAGTTATTTTCCGGAGCTTCTAAATTACATCTGTCTTCTGGAAATGTTTTTATTACATTTTTAGAGTTTTGTTGTTTTGGACTCAAATAGCAGTGAAGTTGACTCAGTGGTAAATTATGTACACAAACACACACTCATGTGGAACAAAAGATACTTGAGTTTCATTTAAACATCCTTTACAGCAAACCAAATACTGTATCCCTATTTTTAAATAAGATTTTAAAAAAAAGCTGAGCTCAAATGAAGTTAAACTTGAATGATTTTTCTGCAGAGAAGGAAAAATCAGCCTGTGATTGAGTCAATGCTTCTTCTGTTATGTTTGTTAGTCACTGAACAGCTGCAAAGACCTCTGACAGTGGTCTGCCATTCTTATCGTCCTGCCAACACATGACACCGTCTTGGCAAAGCATTATCCACAAACTTCATCCCGACACCGGCTTCCTGCCATTACAGCCCCGACCCTTCACAATAGAGACCTTTTCATCTTTACAGACGATGTCCTCCATCAGAGCAGTCAATAAGAGTGTATCAAGTAAAGTTGGATCAGACAAAGATGACTTCACCCTGCATGCATGCAGGGTTAGAGAGAAGTCTTTAAAAAGGCAGCTCTAAAAGAAAGAAAATCCTCCAATGCAGTGGTAAATCCTCTGAACTGAATGTGTTGTAGTGATTGTGACAGCAGGAGAAATGTAGCTTTAGAATCTGAGAAGTTTGGAGAAGAAGGTCAAACCAAGTTCTTGTTGTTTTTAAATAAATGTTCTAATGAAACCTGAGGAGACTGACTCCAGAGAGGCTGTGATGTGGACTAGAGTGTTGACCGTACTATTGCGCAATGCCCACAATGTGTCGTTTTTAYGAGGGCAGGAAAAACATTACAAGTTTAGTTTTTGTAATTAGTTAAATCTGATTTTTATGTGTTTTGGCAAAAAAAACATTTATCACAAAGTTTATTTCTTGCACGAGGTAATTAGTTCAGAGTAACGGCTTCAAACTGTTACTTCTGCATATAAAATACAACAGGAGTTCCTGTTTTTGTACCTGAAAATAGAGTTCAAGTGTTTTTCAGTCCATCATCTAAAACTGTCAGTTTTTGTTATCTGGTTTAGTCKTTTTTATTTGATGTCAACAAGGTAAAGTTACTTTTTAATGACTGACTGCTTTAAAGGAGGGAGTCTTCAGGGAAATGGGTTTTTCAAACACTAAAATAATGCAGGAGCTTATTTTCTCCATATTTGGTAAAACCTGTTTGTGATCATCTGTTTGTGTTTTTTATGTTCTGCATCCACTTGAGGATTGAAAGAGCTGTCAGTTTGCACAACAATAACACACAAAACATTTTTACAGACTT